CTGGCATGATTATAATAGAAACGGTCCTTTGATTAATAATATTAAACCTAGTCTAACTATTATCATGTATAAACCAGCGCTTGACCACTATCCCACCATTTTTTTCCGAAGGGGAATGCGTTACGCATACTCCATGCCTCGGGGCAGACACGTGAGTTATGTGGGACTCTCCCCCCATAGTGGGGGCATACCTCACTAAACCCCTGCGTTCCCTCCTGGCCAATGTGTGGGGCGCCACGGGATCGACCACTATCCCACCTAGACCAAAGTGAAGATGTGGTCGAAGAATGGTCCGCGTTAGTTTAGTAAGTACCGATTCCCACTACTCTTGAAGGCACCGACGTTATAACTTGACGGGAACACTGACGCCGGCAACTTATTCCACTTCTTTGCTGTGCGCACGAGAAACGATGTCTCGAATCGCTTCGTTGGAACCCGCAGCACTTCAACTATGAAAGGATGGAGACCAGCCGTACGTCTAGATGCCCGATTATTTGTTATGTATTCTATGTTATATACAAGATGTTGATCGCGACTTCGTCCAGGTGATATTAAAAAAAAATAATAAAAAATAAGGCCAATGTTAACGTACCCTTGTTATGGCGAAAGAATTTTTGTAATCAGCTCTGTTTTTTTTAGTTATTACAATACATACAAAAATACAAATCTTTCCTCTTTATAATATAAGTATAGACAAGCCCCCCCTCACCTCACCCTCACCCATCAACAAATTTAAAAGTCTAAATTAATAAATCTTAAAGTCATACAACGGAGAAGTCGACGTTTTAACTAATTAAAAATACTAACCTTGCCATACTTACATAATATTGGTGTGGTGTTATTTGTTTAAAATACAAATAAAATTCAATAAAACGACATTCAAATAAACCAGAGAGATTCAAATACATGAGATACTAACTGTTGCTCGCGACTTCGACCTCGTGAAATTAAAAAAAAAGTATTTAAGTAGTACCTATTTTACTCAGTTACAACATAGCTTTTTAATAGAGCAAGAAATTTTGAAGTCGGTCCAGTAGTGTTTATTTATTCCGATATATTAAAAATCCAAAAATACAAATCTTTCCTCTTTATAATAATGGTATAGATAGAGCGTTCTTTTTCAAATATTTAATATACGTGCAAATACAAATAAATAACAATTGGCTAAGGTGACATGCGGCTGAGTTTACACTTGTTACCATATGCTATCCTCAAGTCTTATTCGACATTCAACATAAAAACTATACTAAGCAAGTTTACGACCATTTTAAAATGATACAAGTCGTTTTACTAATAATTTATCTTTTTTTTTAGCATGATTTTTTTTTTGACATTAGGAGTCGTGTTAATCTTATTTTTATAACCTACCAGTTACGACCAAGTTCTTGCGCGTTCTTTTTATTCCATACTATTCTCATATTGTAAAAATTGTAAAAATCATGATCATCATTTCCGATTGCCCTCTTGCCCGTTTGCCTACGGAGTATCGAAACAGTAAATTATATATGATAGTGTCAATCACAGAACAACGATCGTGTCGTCCAGCGATACGCGCGATTTAAATTCAATACTCTGTGTTGCAAATATACGGCAAATTATCCAACAAATGGTCATCTCAATGCCGACAATGGCCGTGAACTGGAAAAAAGAATAAATTAAAGTTTTAATTTACATTACAATTCAAATGTCTAATTCACTAATACTAGCATTTATCACCGTAGAATTCGACTGCTGCGACACTTATGTGATCGTATTGTCATCCCTTTCATTCTTTATGAGAAAATAGAGACTGCAATCTTTACTAATATAATAAAGCGTAAACACACTCTACTACGTGTTGTAGGATTTCAACAATTACAGTAAATTTTTGAATAACTCTTTTTTTTATAAAAAGCCCTACATTTACGTCACGCTTTAGACCTCACGCTATTAAACTTAGGGGAAAATAAATTGGAAAACAAACCGCACGGGAACAGCTAGCATGTAATAATAAGTACAACATCAGTGGAATCCTACGCTATAGATTCATAAAAGATTGTCATGATAATAATCTTGTTTCGTTATTTGCAACTTCAACCTTACTATTTGAATTGCAAAGTATATCTAGTATTAATTGAAAAATTGATATAGAGAATTCTTTTGTATGTTTCATACATGCTTCTGCTTGAAATTTCGTTTAAAAAAGTAGTATTATAAATATAGCTTATGATATTATGTGATAATGTAGCTTTCTATTTTTTTTATATATTATTAGGTGGCAAACGAGCAAGTGGCCACCTGAAACCGCCGAAATGGTGAAGCGACCGCTGCCCATAGACATCCGCAATTGCAAATGCGTTGCCTACCCTTAATCGACGGAGGAGGACACGCACATAAAGAGGATATTTCTATGCGTCTCTTCCGCCGTCAAATCCACTTTTCTTTCCCATCCCTTCCTCTTACGGAATGGGTAGCAAGAGAAACGGATTAAAATTTGGGCTCCGGCTCCACACTCATCAAACTAAACGCGGAATAGCTTGACGCCTGTCTTCTATGTGGTCGTGGTATTGCACCGGGCGAGCCGTGAGCCGACCCATTCGTGCGAAGGTATTAAAGCGGGCTATACCACTGTTAAAATTCTAATTACAAAAGAATTGTTATCATCGGCCCCGCAGTTTTTTAGTGTATTCGTTACATACAAAATATAAATCTATTTTCTCAATAGTATACATTTACCTAAGGTAAACGAAACGATTTTTTTTAAATGTTCATTTTATGAGCTTACGGTCATTATCTATTTGCTTATTAATATTTTGTTAAATAATCGTATTCTTGGTATTTTTGACAAACTAGTTTGAAGTCCGGGTGAACGAGACCCATCTCTTTATTTATCGAAATTGGTAAAAAAAACAAAAAACAAAACATGGAAAACTAACTAAAAATATAGGAAGTATGGAACAAATATTACTATGATATCTATGAAACACTGATTTACTTATTACTAGCTTTCGCCCGCGACTCCGTCCACGCTGAATTAAAAAAAAAAACAAATAGCCTATGTGTACTTCCAGACTATCTTCTACATCTGTACCAAATTTCATCGAAATCCTTTCAGCCGTTTAGAGTACAAACCTTAACAAACATCCATCCATCCATCTAAACTTTCGCATTTATAATATTAGTAAGATTATTAAGATGTAAAAGTTTAGATGATGGATGTTTGTTAGAGTTTGTAGCCTAATCTGCTGAACGGATCTCAATGAAATTTGGCATAGATCTAGAGGATAGTTATTTTTTTATTACCACGCTGACGAAATCGCGGACGAAAGCTAGTTTATAATATTAGTAAGAAGTAAGATTTGTCTTAACTACATTTAATTTACATTATAACTTAGATACTCCTAAGTTAGTAAATAAAACCCGAAGGTCAAAACACTTCGAGAGATTTTTTATTTCCATTTGAATACATATGATACATAACAGTATATAATGACAAGTATATAATCAAAACTAAATACAACTTGATGGTTTTCTATAACCAGGATACGGATATAGCGCTCAAAAATAAATACCTTTAGAATTTTGATTGGCATCTCAAAATGATTTATTACTATACAAGCTTTATCTCGCGTCTTCGTACGTGCGTAATTAAAAAAAAACAGTAAAAGTTGTGTTATTCCAGACTATGTTCAAAATTTCCTCATTTATAATACTAGTAACGAATGAGATTTAGTGAATAATGTTCAAAAAATTCATTACTAGCTTTCGCCCGCGACTCCGTCCGTGGAATTAGAAAAAAAAACTAAAGTAAGTGGCCTGTATGTTCGTCCAGACTATGCTCTAGATCTAGGCAAAATTTCATCCAGATCGGTTAAGCCGTTTAGACTACATACTCTTACAAACATCTATCCGTCCATTTTAAAACTGTCGCATTTATAATATTAATAAGATTATTCAGTATAAGTTATTATTTAAACTTGGATTCCAGACTTTTCTTAACTTCTAAGATAACTGTTGCAGAAGATGGCTGAGGCTCAAACCCAAGATACATGTGGGACACAGAACAAAAATAAATAGCAAAAACTACTCTCAGGTGTTGTATTAACGCACTGCTTCTTGTCCAAAATTTTGTCAGGCGCTTAGACATTTGGAGACGGTTCAGTCATTTCGTTCTCTGTTTCTTTATACAATAAGCTCTTTAATTTTTAACTAAGGAAAATAATAACAAAATAACTAACATTAGATGACATACATTTATTAATAGAATAATGACGGTTTTTGGTTTATGGTCTATAATGCTTTAATGTCAGTTTAAAACACAAGATGTCGCTAGTAAGATCTTATTGGAATTAATCGAACTTGTTTATCGAGCATTGATATCACTTAAGTACTTTAGTTCAGGCAGTTGCCGCTAGATGTCGCATGTTTAATTTTTTTCAAATAATAATGGTTACGCCAGTGAACGATAAGTACTCGATTACCTTCAACTTTAACACTTTTTTAACTTAGTGCAAAATTCAGAAAAACATCCAAAATAAAATTAATTTATACAATCATTTTAAAATGACTAACAAATTAGATTGTTAAAGTTACCTATTTAATATTAGTAATTAAACTTTAACAAATATAGGTGCGTATGCGCATATGTATACGCATAGTATATATGGGCATATCATGTGTATGAATTTGTAGTGGTCTCCAACCATTTGTATACATCTTCGGTATCAATATGTATGCACGTATCCGTCAATGACTTGTATTCATGGTCAGTAGCATACGGACGGCGTCTGTTATTCGGGTACGAATTAAAAATAGTCAGTGGTATTAGAAATTGCAAGGTGTGCAAGTGAGACAGAGATATTAGAAAGTGTTAGTGAGCTAAGCCCGGTGGGCAGTGATTAACAATAGGTGCGATTGCTATCAGAGTGGAGAGCATAGACCGGGAGTCGGGTGCGGGACTGGGGAGTGGTTCCTCTAGTGGTTGGTGGCGGGGTGGGACCGGAGGGCGCACGGCCAGTGCTCAGTAAAGCTGGCGGTCGTATCGGACTATCGGTACATTAGTGTTAGCCGCTGGAGTCGGCAGTCGCGCGTGCAACCTCGGCCGGCACGCACGATGCTCGCGCACCCACACGCGCTAGCCGCCGCGCTACTCTGCGTCCTCGCCGGCCAGATCGGCGCCGGCGCCAGCCTGCACTGCGCTCTGCGCCGGGAGATATCCCCATGCACCTGCCGCCGCGAAGACACCGGCACTGGCGCAGTCGTCGTCCTCTGCCAGCGTATCGCCACCTATCAGGACATCGCCCGTGCCCTCACCAACAAGTTCAGCCCGGAGATCAAGATCGGCCTCGATATCTCCTACTCGGAGATGATCGGCATCGAGCACCACAGCTTCCGAGAGCTCGGCCTCTCCATCACCAGGCTCAAACTTAACTTCGACAATCTGAGGCAAGTCCTACAACTTTCACGAATACTACCCTGATGAAAGCAAAAGAACATTTTCATCCAAGTCCGCCGGTGTACATCAAGTAGTTGTGAACAGAACCAAACTGTTGATACAATATTCCCGCTATCGTTAACCTAGCGACTTTGCTCTTAAAAAAAACAAATATTAAAATCCACATCGGGGTAAGATTACAATCACCGCCCAGTAAATTTCCTTTGAGAAATAGCTTTATTATTGAAACAGTATTTGCTTATCAGCTCCGCAACTATGAATTTTAACGTGGACGCAAACACGAGGGTAACGGACACGGTGCTATCACGAGATTTCGCGATAAACATGTCCTTTGCAATTTTGATATCGAGAAGTTCACTAGCTGTCCACCGACTTTTATTTGCAGATATTTCGAATCTGTGATACGGTTAACGTCATTTCGTCTCCAATAAACGGCAAATTATCCTTTTTGATTGACCGCCATTTATTAAATTAGTTAAATTATGACTCATCTAAAACAGTGTGATATGTGATCGTACACGTTTTGGTTAGATGTCTACATATATGTTGTTATTCTCTCATTATCAAGGGTCAAAGTCGCAGCGAAGGCGAGATTTTCAATGTGACAAATATCCAAATATATTGTTATTATTACGAAATTGGATATAAATTCCTTCATTATTGTATAATATAGGTATACAGTATGTAGGTAATTGTTGTCCATTTACATACATACAGGGATAACACCATTGAGTAGCGATATTTTGCAGGGTTATCTAAGGTCACCTCTAAAGCAGTAAAATTGAATGATATCTTAGTCTGTCGATTCACTGTATTTACCCATTAATGCACTAACAAATTATAATAAACGCGTCTTGTTTGCCGCAATTAGCGATTTAACGATCATAGAATATTAAACAAAATATGTTAATAGGTATTCATGTATTTATAACAAAAAGGTGTACTATAGTGAAAATTAAACCGTGCATTTGTATGTTTTTTCTCGCGAAACTACAAAAACGTTAAACTGATGTGGATAAAATTTGGCTAATAATAGATAGAACGTAGTCGGGACTTGAAGCATAGGTTGTTTTGATTTTATTTACTTACTAGCTATTCCCCGCGACTCGCCGCACGGAATTAAAAAACAAAAGTAAGTAAGCTATATGTTTATCTAGACTATGTTCTACACCTGTGCCAAATTTTATTACGATTAATAAAGCCGTTCCGGAGATACATTCTAATAAACATCCATCCATACATAAACTTTCGCATTCATATTTTCGCACGAGAGTCCGTTGCCGCGAATTAAAAAAATAATAGCCTATGTGTTCTTTCAGATATGTTTCATATCTAAGCCAAAATTTATTGAGATTCGTTTAGCCGTTTAGGCTGTAAACTCTAACAAACATCCATCCATCCATCTAATATTAACTAAGATAACAAATATGATAAATCATTGGCGAAAGGAGAACTTTTATTTGGGTCCCCGTTATTATAAAGACCAGGACATAAATAGTTAAAAAATAAAAAAAAACAAATCTCATCATTTTTCACAAATTAATATCCTTGAAACTGATTGCCCAATCATGATAACTGAAATAAACGACGATTTTTTTCATTTATATTGCTATTCAATTTAAATCAAAACGGCTGTTTGCTTAGATTTTTTATGTTTGTTAAGCTAACACTTTACCACGATTCCACCTGAAGAAAGATTTGAACTGACTCGTGATTTTTAGGTTTTTTGACATTTAATATTTGTTTAATTTTCAATACGTTCGCGCGTTACAAATTTATTATCCATGTAATCTCTAGATTACAATAGGTAGATTACAAGTGCATCACAAGTGATGACCTTCCCTCATCAGATTTCCTGATAAATCCTACATTATATTAAAGAGCACATGTTTTAAACATGTTGTAACCGGGTTGCCTACTCCTAGCCTGGTAAGGCTATGTTTAATTGATTTTTTTATATATCATAATAGGATATATCCTCTTCCTATGCGTCTGCCCCACCGTCAAATCATCTTTATAAAAAAATGGGTATGAAGGAAAAGGGAATAAAGTTGGGCCTCCGGCACCACATTCGTCAGACTAAACGCGGAATTGCTCCCACTTCACGCCTGTCTTCTGTGTGGTCGTGCACCGGGCGAGCCGACCCATTTGTGCATAGATGTTAAAGCGGGCTCTACCACTGTTAATGTACTGATCTGTAAAGTAGGAATTTTTTAGAGGAAAAACCCCTCATAGATATAATAAAGTTATTGAACGACAAACATATTTGTGCGGGATTGAATCTTATACCTAAAGTAATGATCTCCTTTATTTTATTCAGCCATATTTATCTCATACAATACCTATTTCACCTTCATTCAATACTGATATTCCTTGTGTTTGTTACATTTGAGTAAATATTTTTCTGTCAATCGGCGCATGCAAGTCATTAAACTAAATCTTTATTTATAACAAACAGGTTACTAATTAAAGAATTTTCTTTTATCAAGGTTTGAGAAAAAAATAACATGTTTACATTATAACTTCATTTTATATCTTCTAGATGAATAAACTTCATGTTTATCTTAAATGGATTTCTAAATCATTTACAAGCTATTGTAATAGACGTACGCTTGTTCCAACTCTATTTTTATAAGGTGGCAAACGAGCAAGCGGCCACCTGAATCCACCTAAATGGAAAGCGCTCCCAATGAACATCCGCAATTGCAGATGCATTGCCATCCCTTAATTGACGGAGGAGGAGACGCACTTAAAGAGGAAATTTCCCCTTCCTATGCATCACCTACACCGTCAAATCCATTTTTCCTTCCCATCCTTTCCTCTTAAGAAAAGGGAAAGGGACTAAAATTAGGCCTCCGGCACCACACTCATCAGACGAAACGCGAAATTGCCTCCACTTCACGCCTGTTTTCTGTGTGGTCGTGGTATTACACCGGGCGAGCCAGCCCATTCGTGCGAGGCGGGCTCACTGTTAAAATTGTCTATCCGGTTCACTCCGAAACCATTGATTGAAAATAAAATTTTCTTATTGTACACTACAGCTACTACTGTAGGAGAGTTATTTATTATTAAATTTCTTGAAATTACTGTCTTTTTTTCTAAAGGACTAGGCTATTAACAAGGGTTAAAAAATAGAGCGATAAAAAAATCTTAAAACATACTTAATTTATCTGACTTCTATAAGGTAGTTGTTAATTTTACTAGGTTTGATACTTTGATATTGTTAAATGATTTCTATGTAAAAAAAAATGTTTACAATCTCTAAAATATTTTTTATGATAGGCGGAAGAATCTAAACGGCGTCTCTGCCTATTCCTGAGGGATATGGATTTATGTTGTGTTGTTGCTTTGATGACGTTTTAAGGTTGTTTTTACAAGATATTGCAATAAATTCTTTGCCTTTGCTTTATAAAAGGAGAAAAAAACAAACTAATAATCTATGATGGATTGATCTATAGATTATCGGGTGCGGAAGGTTACTCTATGATTTACATAGATAACCTAATGATTGTTTAGAAAATTATTTTATTATGTTTACGTGATACGTTTATATGTTCCTATAAATGCACCGATTGCTGTCAACTTTGAGATGTACCTATAACATTGAAAATTTATGCTAGATATATTAATAAATTGTCATGTTTTAATTTTTAAACTTCCTCCTAAGCTCTACAGCCCTTTGTGGGACTTGGCTTGGTAATTTTTTCCACTTCGGTCCATTACTGGCCATCGATTTCCAATTTATTATGCAAAAATTCTTTGCGTCACGATTTACAGTTTAAAAAATTGTCCACCACCCCGAAGGTGTTATCTTCTGTGGTTATGGTATTTTCACTGGTGTTAGGTGTTGATTTTAATGCATAACTACATGTTGTCCGCTGCATGTGACGCTTTTCAATTTTGAAACTAACTTATATATTTTAAGATAATTTTAACATAAGTTTTTTTACGAATTTAAATTATTTAATTAACATCATTTTTTAGAAAAAAATATTTGATCAGCTTAAAAGCTTAACGTCAATGCTATTTGAAGGAAATATTGTGGTAAACAATCGAAATAACACAAGACTTTTCGGACTTTCAACATAACCAGGTGGCAAATCTCAGGATTCGTCGGAGTTTGTGATTTTATAGTAACATATTTATTTTATTTATGACATGGACATAATCCAGCATTTACTTCACGTAATTAAGTGTTGTGTAGTGTAGAGTAAACCTTCAAACCTTTTCTTTCAAAATAATTTAAAAAATTGTCTTATTCTTATCCTAAAAGCTATTTTTAAACACTATAAATTAGTTTTAAATAGATTTAATCAATGTTAAAGTAAATTTATAGAAATATATTAAGAGAACTAATAAATGAATATTTAATCGAGTGTTTGTACAACATTTTGGAGAGTTCAAAGATGTTCACATTGCTGCGATTTTATTTTCGCAAAGCAAATCTTTGGGAAGCGAGACGGTCAAAGACAATATTGTTGAGTCGAACGATCCGTAATTGTCGTTCTGACATGGGCCAAAGGGTAATTAAATTAAAAAACGAGTCCAATTAAACGAAGAGCGCTCGCCTGACCGAACGTGATTGTTCGCCCGTCTTATGTTACGCCGGGGTATTTGCAAAAAATGACAACTTAAGCGTGCGTTGCTACTGCCGCGACATTTGTTAAAACATAGTACCATCTCTTTTGTTACTCTTTAACAAAACAGAAACTACAATACGTTTTAAAAGGGTCAAGAGAGTCGAAACGCAAAGAAAAAATCAACAAACTTAACGAATTTTAGTTAGTCATATATGTGTGTTCTAGAAAATTTTGAGTCTTTAATATACTGGACTATCACATAGTTGTACGTAGTTTTTTATGTATGCGAACCCTTGTAAATCACTCTTGTTTTGTACACATAGCGCTCAAAATCAAAATGCGCTGCAGAATGATACATGGTAATACATTTCTTCTATTCCTCTAAACCTTGCGTTCGAATAGGGCTAAAT